AACTTTTTTCACAGTTGGAATTTTTATGCAAAGATGGTTCCATTGGAAAGCTTACTTCCGGGGCTTCAATTTGGACACAAGAATGACCTGAAAAGGAGTTCGTATGAAGGAGTTATGCCCGTTTGAAGTTGGACCTGCAGAGCAGATTTTTCCTGCCGGCCGACCAAACAATGTGACGACCGACCAGAACAATGTGCCGGCCGACCAAATAAGTAGCAAGCTGACCATTTATAGTAGCCAACCGACCATTTTTGCTGGTCGATGACCTTCCGGTGTATTCTACAGATTGAATGGATGCCAGTTGTGCCAGCTGGAGGGTACAGACTGGATCCTCCATACACGTGTATGGAGGATCTTTGCTCATGGTTTAAAGCTTCTAAGAGAAGCTTTAGTCCCTTGGCTCTATAAAGGAGGGCTCCCCTCTCCTTTTCTCTGGTTCTAAAATTCCAGAGGCATACACACACTCTCTCCCTTTGTATCTCTCCCTTCTAGCTTCAAAGTGTAAGGTTCTTGGCTCCATTACCCTACACCTCATAACCTAACCTCACCATCATCCATTCCAGCAGCTTGAGGCTAATTTTTAGAGGTTAGGAGCTCCTTTTCTTGGATCAAAGGCAGCTACATTGCTGCTCTTCAAGGGTAAGTCTTCGTTCCCTCTTTTCTAGCCTTGTCTTGCTTCATACCTACCAATAATGGTTAAAGTTGGTTTTCATTCCTTTTGAACTTCCACAACCTTTCAGTTTTGAAAACCAATTACAACCTTTAAAAGGTTATGGTCCCTATTCCTTCCCAAGTGGAAAAATAAGAACACTGCCATTTTTCTTTCTAAATCCTCTCAAGGAGAAACATAAGGCACCAAAGGGGAAAGGATTAGAAGGCAATAACATAATCAATAACAAAGAGTTCATTGATAATCACGCTTCCGTTTAACCGTTCATTAATGGATTCAGGTATGTCATTTTGTCTTGATTTCTTGATAATACGCATGGTAAATGATCCAAAGTGTAAGGTTTATATTCTGAAATTTATGTTAACATTATATACTTTAAAAACTTAATAGATTCAATTAGAAATCTGAAAATTAAATAGACAATTTTACAATAGTTCAAAAGTAAAAAGTGAAATAAACCCCAAATTCAATAGTCAAAGATGCATGGAAAATAAATGCTTGTGGCAACCTAATCTGAAGGGATTTTTTTCTTATCTTTTTCCCTTAAGTTATCTTCTCCATTTTTTTTTTTCTTTTTTCCCGTTTGTTTTTTTTTTAAAAATAAAAAATAAATAAACACCTCACTCTTGCTTGGTTTTTATTTAGGTTTTGGGCGAATTTTATTTAGAAATTATAAATGAAATCTTACATATAATACTAGATAAAAGTAGGTGAATAGTTAACATAGAATATCAGTAAAAAAGTGCTATTGATATTTGCCTTTAACCTTATAAACAAAATTCACTGGAAAAACTGATGCTCTCATTTTTTAAACACAGAATAGAAATTTGAGGTTTTCCTAGAATAAAATTTTAATTAGGTTCTTCATTTGATGGGATTTGACGCTTGATTTTGTTAGTTGGTTGGTTGGTTGGTTGGTAAAATTTTAATTAGATTGCAACTTTTATTAATTTATAATACTTATGACATTATATTTTATTTTTATAATTCTTCCATAAACTAAACAGGTTTGAATGAAATATTTTAGGATTTAATAGTCAATTTATAGTTCAAGAACTATGTAAATTTTGATTTAAATACTTTAAAAACTTACTTAGATTCAATTAACAATTCAAAAATTAAGTAGATAGTCAAAGATGCATGGAAAATAAATGCTTGTGGCAACCTAATCCCAAATTTAACAATTAAAAAGTGAAATAAACCCCAAATTTAATAGTCAAAGATGCATGGAAAATAAATGCTTGTGGCAACCTAATCCGAAGGGATTTTTTTCTTATCTTTTTCCCTTAAGTTATCTTCTCCATTTTTTATTTTATTTATTTTTTTCCCTTTGGTTATTTTTTTTCAAAAAAAATAAACACCTCACTCTTGCTTGGTTTTTATTTAGGTTTTGGGCACCTTTCTTTGCATACATTTGCAATGCATTTATCATTGTTGTTTCCTTAAAAAAAACGCTAAGGACCATGAAAATTCACTTTGAAATTTATTCCAAAAATGAGATGGATATATAGATTGCAGTTCTTCATCTTAAAAAAATTGGTTAACTAATTGGTTACTTACCCAGAATATTCTGATTAAACGGCTCGCCAATTAATGGTATTGTCCATTATATTTTTAATAATTAACTTCATTTTTACCATTTATCCAATTTTTTGGACAAATAATCAAGCAGGTGTTAAATGACTAAACTATCATTCTCCAACTCTAGCATGCTAATTGTTGCATCCTTTTATTTTATTTTTTCTTAAATCATTAAAAAATCAATTTATTGATGCAATCAAATAAAAGGAGAAGAAAAGAAAATGAAAATAACTATAGATAAGCATCAGATCAGCGGTTCTACTAACTAGGAAAAGTTGCCACCAAAGTGGTTACTAATTTTAGTAGGCCCCACTTCACATTAAAAAAAACAAAAGAAGTCTTTAATATTTGGAAAGATTGTTCGACAAATTATTACAAATTCTTGAAACGATTTATGATTTTAATTATTAATGTGCATAAATTTTATTACTTGTTCGTAATTTTGTTTTAAATATACATTGAATTGAATTTTCCTCTTAATTTTTTCTGCATCGCAAGGCATCAGTCAATTACTTACAGGATTAATATTTAGGTGAAAACCTCCTAAATTATTGAGAAGTGTCATTTTGACACCCTAAATTATAAAAACGTATAAATAGACCCCTTATATTATCGAAAAATATCACTTTATCTCCTAAACTATAAAAGCAGACAAATAGACCCCCTTAATTGTAAAAATGTACCAATTGGACCTTCTAATGGAAGTAGTCGAAGTGATACTTTTCAATAGTTTAGGGGTCCAATTGTACTATTTTATAGTTTAGAGGGGCCAAAGTGATTCTTCTCAATACTTTAGCGAGTCTATTTTTAAAATTTTTTATGAATAAATTACACTTTGTATCCCGGCACTTTGCACTAAATCTCACTTTAGCTTCTACAAATGAAATCATGACAGTCCCTGTACTTCTTATCAAATCTCACTTTGGTCCTTACATATGAAATTGTGGCAGACAACCCTTGTATTTTTGGTCAAATCTTACTTTGGTCTCTACATGCCAATGTTTTCTTTCTGTTACTCAATTGTTTAAATCTTTAACAGAATTTAGTCATGTGACAAGAATGTGATTACGACATGAGAGTATGAGATGAAAATCATCTACATTTCCACCAATAGACACTTTGTCTCAAAATTTACATCAAATTATGACTGTATTAGGTTAAAACAAAACACAGATTGTGAACAATTAAGAAGATGAATTAGGGTTTTGTATAAATTGAAATCACGAAACTCTATCTTTTACGGTAACACAGTCTTTTGTTTATTCATCTTCCTTTTTCTTTGATTTCTTTGTGGTAATTTTTTTTTAATTTCAAAAACATTTCCACCAATAGACACTTTGTCTCAAAATTTACATCAAATTATGACTGTATTAGGTTAAAACAAAACACAGATTGTGAACAATTAAGAAGATGAATTAGGGTTTTGTATAAATTGAAATCACGAAACTCTATCTTTTACGGTAACACAATCTTTTTGTTTATTCATCTTCCTTTTTCTTTGGTTTCTTTGTGGAAATTTTTTTTTAATTTCAAAATTTCTATTTTTTTGTCTCTTCGTCTCAATTTTTAGCATATGAACATATATATATATATATTGTGTTATATAACTTTTACGTGCTTATCACGTAAGACGAACTGTATTGGTGAAAAATATGGATGATTTTCCTCTCTTACTCTCATTTCGTAATCACATTTTTGTCACTTGAGTGGATTTTGTTAAAGATTAAAAAATGAAGTAACAGAAGAGGGATATTGACACTTGTATACAGATCAAAGTGAGATTTGAGCAAATGTACAGAGGGTTGACTGTCACAATTTCATGTGCAGGGATTAAAGTGAGATTTACCTAGAAATGCAAGGGGTTGACTGTCATGATTTCATATGTAGGAGCTAAATTGAGATTTGGTGCAAAGTGTAAGGGAGCAAAGTGTAATTTACCTTTTTTATTTTATTTTATTTATTTAGGGATTAAAGTAATACTTCTCCATAGTTTAAGATTAAAAGTTAAAAATACCATTTTGTCAGTTTATTTATGTTAATTCTGTGTCATAAGCTATAATTAAAACTTGTCTAAGCCTCGGTTTGGCATTCATGTTGGGGCTAAATAATCACAAAAAGACAAAATTGACTACAAAAATGAATAAGACAAAATACTACTTTTTATCCATAATTATTACATTTTTTTTCTTACAAAAGTCAAAAAAGTCCCAAAACAAAAATCAAACGAGGCTAAAAAAATCAGGCTTAAAAAGTCTCAACACAAAAAAATTGACTACATTAATTAATGCCAAAAGAGCTCTAAAACACTTTGTCACATACTCCCAAAATTTAAGAAATAAAAAACAAAACAAAACAAAACAAAAATTATAAATAGTAATATAAATTGCATTAAATAACACCATTATCCCAATCGGTGGCGCTACCTGCACCGATAAGTGTATTAACTACCAACATTAGTTATAACATTATTATTGACCTCACTCATTAATTATATTATAAATCCCAAAACCTCTGAAATTATGTGACTATCACCAATTGTTACACTAATTAGTATACTACTTGGTACATATAGCATTATTTTATCCCAATTGAATTTATTTTGTTCTAATCTGTACTTTAATGTCCTTTGGATTTTCTAACCACACAACAGTATAAATAGAGTTTATACATTTAAAGTTTCTGCAACCTACACACAACAATATAAATTGAGCCATATAGTCTCAGTAACGTACACAACATAAGAGTGAAAATGGCACAAGAAACAGTGGTGATCATAGTAGGTGCAGGGCCAGCAGGCATAGCAACCTCTGCATGTCTCAACCTTCTCTCCATACCCAACATAGTTCTAGAGAGAGAAGATTGTTGTGCCTCTCTCTGGAAGAAAAGGTCTTATGATCGCTTAAAGCTTCACTTAGCAAAGCAATATTGTCAGCTTCCCAATTTTCCTTTCCCATGCGATGAGCCCACATTTGTGTCCAAGAATGGCTTCATACATTATTTAGATAACTATGTGTCCCATTTTAATGTCAACCCATTGTACGGCCGATCTGTCGAGTCTGCATCGTACAATGAGGCTGATAGAAAGTGGTATGTGGTGGCAAAATTTGGGGTTTTGAACGGGGTTGATGATGCTGAAGAAGTGTATGTTGGGGAGTTTCTTGTTGTTGCGACGGGTGAGAATAGTGAGGGTTTTGTTCCAGAAGTTGATGGGCTGGGTGATTTTCGAGGGAAGGTGTTGCATTCTTGCCAGTATGAGAATGGAGCGAAGTTTAGTGGTAAAGATGTATTGGTTGTTGGGTGTGGGAATTCTGGTATGGAGATCGCGTATGATCTGTCTAATTGGGACGCTCGAGCGTCTATTTGTGCTCGTAGCCCTGTATACCCCCCCTCTCTCTCTCTCTCGAAAAGTTAGGAATCATAAATTTTTTTTTCATGAAAATGATCATGAAAGAGTTATAATCCTTAAATTACCTTGATTAGCGTGTGGTACTTTATTTTAAGTGTAATTCAAGAGTCACAAAGGTTTTTCATGATACCTATAATAATATAAAAATAATAAATACATATATTTTAACATAATGGCACACAACATTGAAATACATATATGTATATATATATATATATAATATTTATAACCTTACTAGAAGAAACTATCTAGAAAACACTTTCACTAATTATAGTTTGGTATATGAGTCTCGCTCAAAATGAAAGATAAGTCCATAATGATTTTTTTTAGAGATTTTGAAATTCATAATGACAAGTTAATTTAATAATAAATGCATACGTTTTAACATAATCGCACACAGTATTGAAATACATATATATATATATATAATATTTATAACCTTACTAGAAGAAATTATCTAGAAAATACTTTCACTAATTATAGTTTGGTATATGAGTCTCGCTCAAAATGAAAGATAAGTCTATAATGATTTTGTTAGAGATTTTGAAATTCATAATGACAAATTAATTTAAATTTAAATTTTAATATTGATTTTTTGTATTACGTTGCGACCTTAAAATGCAAATCTCCACTTCTCATCAGAAATCGAAATAAGCAAAATATTTGATTATTATATACATCCATGTATAATTTCTTTTGCCATTTTTTTGGATTTTAAATATAGACATAAATGAAATGGGTATAATAAAAAATCATAAAAACTAATTTCCGTTTGCACTGTTTTCAATGGATTCTCTTTAAGGTAATTTACTTTTGTTGTTGTTGTTGTTTCAGGTACATGTGCTCACAAAGGAAATGGTACAAATGGGAATGTACTTGTTGAAGTTCTTTGCATGTGATATTGTGGACAAGACGGTTATATTCTTAAGCAAATTAAAATATGGAGATCTGTCTCAATATGGGCTTCCAATGCCGAAGGAAGGTCCATTTTATATCAAAGGAACCACAGGTCGATCTCCAGTCATTGATGTTGGGACCATCGGCAAAATTAAGACTGGACAAATTCAGGTACTTTATTTTAGAGTTAATTCCATTGAGACCCTCCCAAGTTTTAATGAATATCACTGTATCCACTTGTTGTACATATTTATCCCTTCAACAATGAAAATTATACAAGTACATCTTTTTTTTAAAAGTGATCTAGAAAGGATAAAAGTGATATATTTTTATACTTGAATGGTATAAAATGACATTCGCTAAAAGTTGACAAGTCTTAACATAATAATGAACCTTTTACTTTACTACTTTAAGCATATTAAGGCTTGGTTTGGGAAGTAGGTTGACTTTTTGGCTTTTTGGCTTTTTTGGCTATTTTAGCCTGGGCTAAAAAGTTTGGTTTGGGAAGGACTTTTTGGCTTTTTGACTTTTTTGACTTTTTTTGTGAGAGAAGAATGTAATGATTATAGGTTGGATGTGATGTTTTGTTTGTTATGGCTAAAATAGTCTATTTTGTTTTTTGTGGCTAAAATAGCCAAAAAAACTTGAAAACCAACTTACCAAACAGAGGCTAAATGTTGTAATGTTTCGATCCCCCTCAAAAAATAAATAAATAAAGAGTATTTGTCCCATGCCATATGTGACAAGCGCACAATTTAATTTTTTTGTAAACTTTATTGCAACTTTGCCATGTAAGTTGCAGGTGAACTTTATCATTGAACTTTTTCATTTTTTTTTTTTTTTTTATAGATAAAAGTATTTTTTTAATCCAAAATGATCTGCTAAACTTGAGTTGTATCACTTTATTTAGGAAAACAAAGGGCAAGGTGACTTGTAGTTTCAAGAATATCATTTACATATCATTTTGATGGAAAATTTTGTATAAGGAATTTGTTTTACTAAGACAAATTTTTATAAAATGTTTAGCACAACATAGAATTATGGGAGAAGAACAATCCAAATTGTAATATAAAATGTTACACATACTTACATCTCTTGTCCCGCTTATTAATAATGTAACTACATAACATTGTGTCATGACTTAGAAAGTAATAGTATCTAAAAGTAGGAGAGGAAAAAAATCAAGAAAAGAAATGAAAATTTTGAATAATACAATGCTCGTTCAAAGTTAATTACTTTCTTATGATGTGATTATGATTATCAGATTATGCCATCTATAACTACAATAGATGGAGATAACATTGAATTTGCAAGTGGCAAGATAAAGCGATTTGATGCTATTGTTTTTGCAACTGGCTACAAAAGCACAATTCGAAAATGGCTCAAGGTACTTTTAAAATTCAATCACATTGTGTAAAAAATTATATATAAATATTGAAAATAAGGTTTTAACAAGCGGATTTTTAACGTCTAAAGCAGGATGACAAAGGAGACCTTTTCAACGAAGATGGGATGCCCAAACGAAAAGTTCCAAATCACTGGAAAGGGGAGAAAGGTCTTTACTGCGTTGGATTTGCAGGGATGGGATTGTTTGGCATTTCAAACGATGCACAAAACATTGCTAAAGATATCAAACATAATTTTGATTTGCTTCAGTTAATTAATCCTAGTATCCTATGATTATAATTTTCCTAAATGTGCACCCCTTTAATGGGAGTAAATTTTTTAGCTTCACCTTTTTTTTTCTAGTTTTTTTTTTTAGTTATAAGTTTATGACTGTAATGAGGCCTCGTTTGGGGACTTACCTTTTTAGCTAAATAGCCAAAAAGTTACTAAATTAGTCAAAAAGCCAACAACTCATACTAAAAAGTCAAAGATTCTCTTTTCTCTATACTTTTTGCACATCTTTTCATAATTAGTCAAAAAGTCATCCCAAACATACAAGTTTTTTTTACCTACCTTTTTAGCCAAATAGTCAAAAAGTTACTAAAATTAGCCTGTTCCCAAACGAGGCCTGAATCTAAATGAGCATTCCGGGAGCACAAATTTGTTACTTTCATTGGTTTCTGCTTAATAATAATAATAATGTCGTATATAAATTGATTTTATAGAATATATATTATATATTATATGATTAATAGTTAATTTGGGCACAATAGAGATGAACTTGGCCACAATAGTTTTTTATGTCTTAATTTAAGCCAAGTCCAACCCGGCCCAATATAATCTTATGTTTTGTCAAAATGGTTTTCTGAATAAGAAGAACCAATTTTTATTCACATAATTTATGGTTAGATGAAAGGTCATTGAGATTGCTGACAAAAAAAAAAAAAAAAACAAAACTTCATTGAGAAGTTGGCTAAAGTTGCGTTTAATTTATGAATTTGGATGGAAATTTAGAAAGAAAAAATAAAAAAAAAAAGAGTATGAAATGTAATTATATTTCATTTACATTTCGTATATATTTTTTCACTTTTTTCTTTTTTGTTTTCAAATTCCTCCCCAAACCAATAAATCAAAGTGAGTGTTTGGGAAGTGGATTTTTTTGTAAGTTTTTATAGTTGTAGGATATTATTGGAGAAAATTTTTTTGGCCTTGTTTGGTTTGCTTTTCATAAAATTTTTTGAGAAAAATTCTTTACAAACAAATTTTCAAAAGTAATCAAACTAAACAAACTTTTTCAAAAAAAATCTCAAAATTTTGTTTGATTACCTACTTTCCAAAATCACTCTCTCTCTCATACGCATCAAATCAATCACTTTTTTTAAAACTCTCTCTCCCAAAACAATTTTTCAAAATCATTTATGAAAAAAGGCAAACCAAACAAGTTTTCGTACTTTTTATCTAAAAAACTACTCTACAAACACAAACCAAACACACCCTTTGTGTTTGGGAAGATAGTTGGATTTTTTTATGGTTGGATGTGATATTTGTGAGAAAAAAAGTGAAATGATTATAAGGTTTGATGTGATATTGTTGGCTACACATTTTGTACTAAGCCAGTGACAATCCAACGCGTGGCGAAGTGAGGGTAATATGGGGAGACCAGGTAGGTCTTCGATCCTGATCATACACGTGGCAATTAATATTGGTTGTTATAAGATCTGAGTAGTAGCAGATCAACAAAGAGACGTACAGTGACGTGGCTTCAACGGTTGCTCACATTTCAAATTCAAATATAAGGGGGGAGCCTAACTGCAAGTGAAGGCGTAGTGAGACTATTTATAAGGTAGCATGATCAGCAACTAAGGAGGAGCAATTCGACGGTTTGATGTACAATTTGATGGTTATCTTCGGAGAGTATAAATAGCAGGAAGGACTTCAGAGAAGGGGACGGAGAAAAATCTAAAGAATCACTTTACATATTCCAGTGTTATTTCCTGTCCTTTATATTCCTGTATTTTTAGTTTCTGCGCTGCACTTCATTTGTAGGAGTAGTTGTCAAGTATATTGCCGCTGTAATTCTCTACGGAACTGAGATCATTGTAAGTTCTTTTTATACTAATGAAATACTCCAGTTTAGTTAACTGTTCTTATGTTCAGATTTTCTGAAGTTTAATTACCAGTAAGCCACCAGTAAAAGTCCTCTTTATTGAGGCCGAAAGAACCATAACACAATCGTCTGAATAATTGTTTGGCAATTCTGTAAGGACTGATTGATCCTTGCTGGCACGCTCATAATTACGAAAGTAACCTTCGAAAGCCAAAAAAGCCAACATATATTTTATTTGGATTTTTTTTTTTTGATTTTGTAAAATATTTATCTTGTAGTGAAAAAAAAACAAAAACTCATTACCTTTATGATTTTACTTTATGCGAAGAGATTATTCAACGCTCCTAAAGCATTAGCCAGTGGTGCTTCAGAGCCAGGGCTCACCTTGACTTATTGGGGACTTAAGGTGAATTTTTTAAATTGGGCCTTTCATATATTATTATTTAAAAAAAAAAGTTATTTGGATAAAATAAAAAAGATAAAAATTTATTTTTATTACATTACAATTTAACAAAATTTAGATAACAAATATATATATATATATATAATAGTTGAATTTCAATTAGTTGAATCGAATTTTTATTTTTTAGCTTACCAATGCTATAAGAACAAAAATTAATTGGGGTAAGGATGAGAATTTTCGACACAACTCAAGCAATATATAAAATTAGCAAGTTAAGGTTAAATATTTTCAACATGAATCTAAGTATGACACAACTCAATAATTTGAATTATTAGTTATATATTTGAATGTTCACTAAGGGATGCCATGACATTTTTTAATATTTTATTTAACTCTATCTAATTGAATAAAAAAGTATGTAAAATAATAATTAAGGCTAATATCTTTTTTTCATTTAAGATATATTTTTTTTTGTTACCTATTTTAGAGTCAATCTAATAAAAAATATATAGTAATAAGGTATAATTTTTTTAATTAGAAAAATGCAATTGAATTAAAATCAAACATTCTATGAATAATTTCATTTAGTTGAAATAAATTTTATAAAATTCAACTTATGAGAAAAATTTTAATCTCTCAATACACTTGCTAAGTTATTTTTAACTAAAAGTGAAAGTTTTCATATTAAATATCAATCGAACACGAATCAAAATAACACCACACGACAACATAAAAATAAATAAATTGAGCTAATATTAAAATAATTATGAAATAACATGACATGATACACTCTTCTAATTGGAGGCCCTAAATTTTGTTCAAAATTGGGGGCCCGAGGCGACCGCCTCAGTCGCCTCACCCCAGGGCCGGCCCTGTCCAGTGCCAATGTGATTGATGTATGGAAAAATTATTTATAAGTCTTATTAGGGAGACTTATGCTATATATGGTTCTACTAAAAAATTTATGTTCCCATAAGTCCTGTGGGAAGTTTGTTGACATATTTACCCTCAATATTAGTTATTAATATCATAAATAATAGTAAAACCATATATAGGAAATTGAATGTTACTATATATCATATCTATATAAACGTAACGTAACGTGACACCTACATAAACGTAACGTGATACCTATGATATATGGCAACATTCAATTTCCTATATAGGAAATTGAATGTTACCATATAGGAAATTGAATGTTACCATAGATCATATCTACATAAACGTAACGTAACGTGACACTTACATAAACGTAACGTGATACGTATGATCTATTGCAACATTCAATTTCCTATATAGGAAATTGAATGTTGCCATAGATCATATTTATATGAAACGTAACGTGACACCAACATAAACCAGCAGCATTTTCACATTCAATTTAAAAAAATAAAAACTTATTAAGTTTGCGAAACGTACGGTGACACGTTACATTACGTCTATAGCAACATTCAATTTTCTATATAAGAAATTGAATGTTGCCATAGATCATATTTATATGAAACGTAACGTGACACCAACATAAACCAGCAACATTTTCACATTCAATTTAAAAAAATAAAAACTCATTAAGTTTGCGAAATGTAACGTGACACGTTACGTTTGTGTAGGTGTCACGTTACGTTTATGTAAATGTCACGTTACGTATAGGTGTCACGTTACGTTTATATAGATGTCACGTTATGTTACGTTTATGTAAGTGTCACGTTGCGTTACATTTATGAAAGTGTCACATCACGTTACGTTTATGTAGGATCTTGTGGAATACATTCTCATCTAAATAGGACTTGAGACTCTATAAGAAATTATACAAGACTTACCCTAGCATAAGTGTTTGAAAAAGGACTTATAAATAAGTCTCCCTTGATATATAGGTAAAACGAGAAATATTATGTATCTTAAATATTTTATTAAATATTTTATCAAATCTTTTATATGGAATGAAATTCACATGTATGTAGTCCTATATTTATGTGAGAGATTTAATAAAATATTTGATAGAATATTTAGAATTCGAGAAATTATTCAATACTCTCAGAACACTACGTGTCCATACTCCAAACCAATCACTAATTACTTAGTCACATATATATTATTCGCCCATCTTCAACATAAATTGTAAATTTTCATATTTCTCTATCAATTAAAATCTTATAGACTACCACGTGACTCATCCCTAACATAACTCAAGTGAAACCTAAGACTTTGTGTAGGTATTTAACCTAATAGTATAGAATTGACGTGAATCTATCTATTGGTATGGAAAAATGTTCCAAGAGTATAAATAATTTTTTCTCATATTCTACACCATTGCTACACCTGGCTTGCTCTGAATTCTTTGACTTTTATGTTTGTGTCACGTTTTTTAAGCATATTTTGAAAATTAAGGGGTTGTTTAGAGTGTCCTAAGCCTCCGTTTGGGAAGTGAGTTGGCTTTTTGGCTTTTTTAGCTATTTTAGCCCGGGCTAAAAAGCTTGGTTTGGGAAGGGCTTTTTGGCTTTTTGGCTTTTTGGCTTTTTTGACTTTTTTTGTGAGAGAAGAATGTAATGATTATAGGTTGGATGTGATGTTTTGTTTGTTATGGCTAAAATAGTCTATTTTGTTTTTTGTGGCTAAAATAGCCAAAAAAGCCTGAAAAAGCCCTTGCCAAACAGAGGCTAAATAAGTGTACTTTTTATTTTTTTAGACTAAAAAGTTGAGGTTGAAAATATGAATATTTGGGTTAACTTTTTGACTTTTTATGAAAAAATATGTATTAAAAAATTGTATAAATTAGTGTGTAGGAGAAAATTAGTATTGAGAGTTATGCAGCCGTAATTGTTGACTTTTGATAAATATTGATAACTTTTTAACTTTTTAAGTAACTTTTTGACTTTTTAACTTTTTTAAGACTTTCCAAACTTGACCCAAGTTAAAAGTTAAAAGAGTTTTTTGAGTCACATCATCTCTGTATTATTTTACATATTTTTTTTAAAAAAAATTTAAAAATTAACTTTTAATTTATTTTTCAAAATAAGTTTTTTTTATTGTCTATCCACTACAAAAAATTAAGGTTTTAAAGACAAATTTTTAGGGACAAAAATAATTTGTCTGCAAAAATTATATTTTTAAGGACAAAATGAAATAATTTAAAAATATATATATATTTAATCATATTATTACATTTTCTAGACAAATTTATTTGGTTGCAAAAGGATCAGTCACTTTTCTCTACAATTTTAGTTAGCCCCTAATAAACCCAAATCATATATTTTTGTAATTTATATATTAATTTTTGAACTCAATAGTCGGGACTCAAAAACAGAAACAAAAAAAGCATCAGGTTTCATCACTCACACACACACACACACACACACTCTCTCTCTCTCTCTCTCTCTCTCTCTCTCTCAAATCTCTAATTTCTTTTCATATATCTCTTTTCTATGGATTCGATGTATGAACTCAATGGTTCTTCTTTACGGATCTCGTTGATTGCTTCTGATCTGTGGTTTATCATTGTCTTATAGCATCTCTCACCAGGGCTGGATCGCTCCGTTGCCGCCTCATCTCTCTTCGATTCTCCGATTTCCCAGCGAATCTCCGATAGCGATTCCAATCAGGTACCATATATATATATATATATATGCATATACATACATGTATGTATCTGTATAATCGATTTGATATTGCAATTTTAGCCCTCGATTTCGTGCATGGTTTTGTATACATATATAGATTTATGTGTTTGTTCAATCAATCTATTTCAATGAGGTGTTTATAGTAATCATCAATAATTAAGTGTTTTTCGTTTTTAGGGTTCATAGTATAAGAAAATCTCTGAATCGTGCATTTTTTGATCTTATCACATCATTATCATCATTTTGTTATCATATATTGTTCAGTGATCTTTTTACAGTGAATGTTGTTGTTATTAGAAGCAATCGCAATTTGTATTAGTTTATTAGTTTTCACAATTTCTTAACAGGGTGATGATATTTCATAGATCCTTGAAGGTGCATTTGATTTCTTTTGTATGTTGTAGGTCTGTTTTAGAATCATATGTTGCAAAAATGAGAGAAATTTATATAAAACTAACCAATGAAAATAGTGGGTTTAAAACCTTAATGTGTTTTCTATGCTTCTTTTACTATCAGATTTGGCTTTTTTAACTTCGATAGAACTCTCTCTCCTATTTTCTCTTAAAAACTGGTTGTTTTGTTTGCATTGATGTGGCCTCTTTCCAACCGTAGCTTGTTTTCTTCTGGACAAACTCAACCATACGTTGAGCATGTTTGTTGAAGTTTAAAAGTCATCTTATTTAAATTATAGGTTCAAAAAAGTTGTTTTGAATTGATGTTTTGGTAAGAAAAATACTAGTTAAAATTTCAACATATATGTCTAATATGGAAATATAGAAGTTTGAACGACTAAGTTTTACCAAACAAACCAAATCATCATTTACACAACTTATAAGGGCATTTTGGACAATTGCACAACAAAAAAACTATTTGATAACCTGTTTAACAAATAGGTTCGACTTTTATATATCTTATATAACTGAGCTCATCTGCAATAGGACGACTTCATTGACTAAAGGGCTAGCCAAAGAGCAAGTGTACCATTTATCGAGGGGAATGTGATTAAAGCCTATTATTTAAAAGTCGCTATAATGGCAACTCAACCTAATTGGCTGGAGATCCCAAGATCTAGGTTCAAAGGGACAACCGAATTATGGATGACTTCATGTATCACTCAAGAGGTTTACTCCTACCCATTTCTATGATAAAAAGAGTGATACTTGCAGCGTCATTAGGATAAGTTTTGCTTTTAATGATTCTCATAGCTTGAACATCCAAGTGGGATATGGCAAAATACTCTTAATAAGAAGTCACCTATATAAGTGTGAACTGGACCGGTTCTGTGAGAATTGAGAAGGCTAAATTCTCTAGAGCACTCATAAATTACCAGGTGTTGTTCAGGGCCAAAATGAACACAACCATAAGAACCAAACTATGTTTGTTGATACACTATCTGAAGTCTATTGTCTTGGCTTACACAAACAGTTAAATAGTTCAAGGCATCGCGTCCACTGGTTAGCCAGTAAGTCCGATAGGCTTTCACTACAGGAGGTTCAAAGCCAAATGCTACCTATCTGGATGTGGTGTATCTTCTTTATGAACTCTTTCTTTGTCTGCATTCTGTTGCATGTCCGTTATCCTGAATTCCATTCATGTGGGGAATTATTGGAAAATGACTTTGAATATCTTATTTTTTGCTAACTTTGAACGTTAATTAAGGTAGGACCCAAGCTTTATTTTTAACGTTTCTAATTAGGTTCATATTTAATGCTGCATAATGAATAATATCGTGTATTTGGTTGCTCAAAACCATTTCCAGATGAATGAAAATTCAACGCACATTTTTGGGTTCGTGGAAATGGCTTTACGTGGGTGTCCTACACATTTGTGAAATGTGCTTGTCCCACATAAGAAATGTTTAAGGATTTATATAAGCATATATACTCTAACTTGCCATACTTGGGATGGGCTCCAAGGGGCACCCTAAGTTTTGTAAGGAATGGAGTTATGTACAAAGTGGGCTTGACTTAAAACCGCCACACGTGCGCGCCGCCGCCATCCGGCCGGCCGAGCCTTGAGTATGGGTCGGGTTAGGTCCTAACTTTAATTTTTTTGGACAAAATTCGTTTGTGTGGGGAAATATTTTGTGAATGATAGCATGTGGCCAAGGTGACGCCGAAGTGTTAGCCGAGGTGCCACGTGGCCTAGTCCTGATGCTGAGGTGATCTCGGCTAGACCAAGATTATCTGCGAAGATGTCGAAATTCGAGATGAGCGGATAAGGGACAAGAATCCTAGAATAGGAGAGGACCTCAATATAGATAAAGATAAAGCACTTGGGGAGTTTATCCATATCTAGCTGAGAGTCCAGGATGACCATTGAGCCTGAGTACACTGAAGTGAGGCTTTTACAAGGATCAAGTCAGTGCCAACCTTAAAAGTAGGACACCCCCGTGGGTCTGAGGTATGTGTAATATATTGTGAGCAATAAGTTCTTTCTTGTGAGTTAAGCACAATTTGCTATCTTTGAGAGATATTAGATTACTGACTTGAGTGTCGGAGTGTCCCTAGGTAGACGAATCACCGCTGAATTCTTATCTTTCTGTGATAGGTTGTTTGGGCTTAATCTATTCTGTCAGTGCTCTCTAGCGGAGTTCCCTGTTTGGTTGTGTGGTCACAAATCAACACCAACAATTTGGCACCGTCTATGGGAATGGAAGGAGAATAGATGGCCAATGATGGGCATAAAGAGAAGATTGGGGACAACATCCCTAGTGGGAGTGGCAAACAGATCGATCTTAAAAAAGAAGAGAAACCGAAGCCCTGCGACATTTACATCGACAACTCCTTCGCCTATTTGTTGATAGAAGTTCAAACCGACAAGAAGTAGGGGCAGGAGTAGTGTTAGTATCACCAGATGGGCGAATGTTAGAGCAGTCTATTTGTTTGGGGTTTAAGGCCTCAAACAATGAAGCAGAGTATGAGGTACTGATCGCAGGGTTAAGCCAATGGGGTGGTAGTCTTCTGGGACACCCAACTTATTGTGAATCAAGCAACATACGAGTATGCATCCCAAGATGAAAGAATGATAGCCTATGTCAAAGAAGTTGTTAGACTACTAGCATTGTTCTAGGATTGCCGGCTACAACAGGTTAGCCGAGATGATAGCAGTCATGCTGATGCCTTGGCTAACCTGGTTAGTGCAATGAAATTAGAGGAGGCAAAAACAATAATGGTTGATTATTTGTCAGGCCCAAGTGTGGAACCAATGATCACAGAGTACGAAGCAATGCGCGTGGAGATGAGTCCAAGTTGAATGGATGCAATAGTAATGTTCCTTAGGGATGACAAGCTGCCAGATGACCAAAAAAAGGCACATAAGATTAGATTGAAGTCAGCCAGGTTCAATCTAACAGTAGATGGCCATCTCTACAAGAGATTCTTTACTGGTCCCCTTTTGAAATGTGTGCATCTTCTCAGATTGAAGACTTCTTATATGAAATACATGAAGGGGTATGTGGAAGCCATGCTGGGGGCAGATCACTTGCTCATAGGGCCATTACTCAAGGGTTCTGGTGGCCCTACATGTAGAAGGATACTAAAGCCTATGTCAGAAAGTGTGAGAAGTGTTAAAGGTTTGCACCTTTAATACATCAGCCAACATCAGATTTGGACCCAGTATCCAGTCTTTGGCCATTTGCCCAGTGGGGCATGGATCTTGCTGGACAATTGCCCCAAGCAACTGGGCAAATGAAGTTTTTGCTAGTAGCAACTTATTACTTCACGAAGTGGGTAGAAGCTGAACCCCTTGCGAAATTTTGAGATATTGATGTGAAGAACTTCAAATGGAAGAATGTCATATGATATGGAAGAATATCATATGGAAGAATACTGGATCTTCCAGTATTCTAGCGGCTGGAAGCAGGAAAAAGAAAGTGGGTGGAAGAGTTGCCTAATGTGCTTTGGGCATATCGGACTACATCGAGAAGATCAACTAGGGAGTCTCCTTTTGCAATGGCTTATGGCACTGAAGCAGTTATCCCACTGGAAGTTGGCATTCTTGGGATCAGATCTCAGGGAGTAGAGAATGGGACTAATGACATTCCTGGCCCAAGATCTGGACCTACTGGAGGAGAAAAGAGAGAGAGAGCAGCAATTCGGCTAGGGAAATACCAGCAATAACTTGCTAGGGCTTACAACAAGAAGATCAACCCAAGAGAGTTCAAGTTGGAGACCTCGTTCTAAGAAAAGTCGTCGGCAACAAAAAGGATCCCAGGGAAGGGAAACTTGGCCCAAATTGGGAGGGTCCTTGTAGAATCATCTCGGTTGCTAGTAATGGGGCATATCGGCTTGAAGACACTGATGACAAAGAGTTGCCAAGACCCTGGAACACTTACAACTTGAAGTTTTTTTATCGTTATTTTTTTGTTTTTCAAAGTTTATGTCATACTTTCATTAGCCGTAGTAATAATAAAATTATAGTTTGATTTTTATGAATTCGAAATTTGTGTGATAGGATTGACCAGTCCTATGGCGATGTTTCCGAATGAAACATAACGAACAACTTAGACTTATTATATAGAAGTGTTGAATTATACTTGCATATAATAGAGTTAAACTAAGTTTGTGATGTTTCCGAATGAAGCATATCGAATAACTTAAACTTATTATAAGACAGAGTTGAATTATACTTGCATATAATAGAGTTGAACTAAGTTGGTGATGTTTCCAAATGAAACATGACGAATAACTTAGACTTATTATATGGTAGAATTGAATTATATTTTCATATAATAGAATTGAACTAAGTTGGCGATGTTTTCAAATGAAACATGACGAATAATTTGGACTTATTATATGGTAGAGTTGAATTATACTTGCATATAATGGAGTTGAACTAAGTTTGTGATGTTTCCAAATGAAGCTTGGCGAATAACTTAGACTTATTATATGGAAGAGTTGAATTATACTTGCATATAATAGAGTTGAATTAAGTTGGCGATGTTTCCGAATGAAACATTATAAATGACTTAGACTTATTATACGGCATAGTTGAATTATACTTGCATATAATAGAGTTGAACTAAGTTGGCGATGTTTCCGAATGAAACATGACGAATAACTTAAACTTTTATATGGTAGAGTTGAATTATACTTGCATATAATAGAGTTGAACTAAGTTGGCGATGTTTCCGAATGAAACATGACAAATAACTTAGACTTATTATATGGCAGAGTTGAATTATACTTACATATAATAGAGTCGAACTACGTTGAATTAACCTTGACTTGCCATGTTGGCAGAGCTGAACTCACCATGGAACCAGGCTTGCTTCAGTTAGATTAACAGAGAAACCAAGGTTGAACACCTCGGCTATTCTTTGTTTGAATTTGACCTTGGCGAAAGACCATAAACGCATAATGTG